ATCTCGAACCTTTTTCTCTGACACCTTGTCCACTTTGTGTTCCATTTGTAATTATTTTCAATGCAACTTTCAAAGTTTTCGTTTTCGGCTTCTCATGTAAGGATGATTATGCTGTACATTTGATCATGCCTATGCACGGGTCCCCGTGAAATACACATTTATTATTATTATTATGAAATAGTACGGAAAACCTTCAGGCAGGGTGAGTTTCCGACTAAACTTTCTCTCCCGTATCCGTTGTTCGGCTGACATTGATGCATAAACGCAGAAGGAAGTGCAGGTAACCCTTTGGAATTCACGGAAATCCTCCAAGAATCCGTCCAGCGAACCCCAGCATTCTTTTACCATTCTTTCAAAAACGACCGTATCGTCAACGTGAGCCATGGTTGGTATGAGCGTGGAACTGATCGTGGCCATTAAGTTGTGGTATTTATACTTTTCAGGAAAAGGTCAATTAAGGTTAGTTAAACCAAATTAAATTTTAACAAATCAGTCACAATCAGCCAAAAGCAAAATATGAATTCGACATCGATATATCTAAAATACATCTAAAATTCGGTCGATTTTAGAAAACCTGATAGTTGGGATGCGACGCCACTACCATACCCCATGCCTCTGAGCTCATCGCTGGTGATTTTAACGCACCGAACGTCAAATGGTATAGCCTCACCTCTCCCCATTACCTAACTGGCTTCGTGATTTGTTTGCGCTGGTCCCAGAACACAGCAATGTAACCGCTTCGACCAGACATAATAAAATATTTACAACATATCACGTTCGATAAAAGCCAGAAATGTCCTTTCCCAGCTCGGTATCCCTTCTTTAAATCTACCCAATGGCACAGCATTTGATGCCCTCGCGAGTATCGCGGAAGCATTTAACATGTTGTTCACTTCCTCTATGACTACCCACTCAGCCTGTGTTCAATCGCCAATTACCTCCCTAACTTCACACACCCTGTCCAGTTTAGAAGTTTCTCTATACGATGTGAAAACTACGGTTCTGAAAGTAAAACCCGTCTTTGCATCGACGGAATCCCACCGGTGGTCCCGACGTTTTACTCTTGGTAATGAATTTCTTCAATCTTTTGATGAAATATGGCACTCTTTCAATTCAATGGAAGACTTCCATCATCACCCTCGCCATTAAAGAGGTCCTCGTGATGACCTGTTTAAATTCCGTCCCATCCACCACACTTCAGTTATCTCGAGGCTCTTCGAGCGCCTGGTCAAATCGCGACCGCCTGAATACCTGAAGTCCCTCAACGTTATAACAGCTAACATGGCTTCCTCAAAAACAAATATTGCAATACCTGCCAACTAGATGACCTTAATAAGATAGCTAAAGCTGCCGGTACTCCAAAAATATCATTGTTATTTTCTTAGATACGGCCAAGGCCTTTGATAGTGTCGCCCACCATCTACTTCTAAACAAACTGGAAGCATGTAGGCTAAACAACCCAATTCTAAGTTGTCTCGCCTCCTATCCATCGCATCGCTAGCAAGTGGTGAGCATTGATGGTCATAACTCCCAACCTTCCCAGGTTACCAGGGGTGTTATCCTAGGAAGCGTGCTTGGCTTTCTTTTATTCATCATGTTTGGTAATGATGTTTTCTCCATAATACGCCGCGGTACTCTATTCCTTTTTGCTAATGACATGAATTGTGTTCACGACTTTAGGAAGACTGAAACTAGTGACTTCATACACCACGTCCAAGAGGACATACACGGCTTTGAACAGTGGTGTTCTGCTTGAAAAATGGAGTTTTTTGCTAATAAATGCACCCTTGTGACTTTGCCATATGAAATCCCTCCGAATTCGTTCCTTCTTCCCGGCTCACCAATTATTCACCAACTATCAATACTTGGCCTTGGTCAGCACTACTGACAGTCCCTAAACCTCTCCGAGCATATCTTCTTCCAGGCTAAGGCACGGAAAACCATCGGCTTTCCCACATCTTTTATCTTACGTGAGGATTTACTATTATCTTACCTATCATTCATAAGACTTTCTCCCAAAAACTGCCCTATAATCTTCACAAATATCCGTGAAACAAATAGGTCAACGTTACAAAACGTCCAACGCACTTTCACCGAATAATTACTAGGCTTTTAGACCCAAATGAGTTACCAGGAACGCTGCGCCGTATTCAACCTCGAGCCCCTGTGGCTTCGGCGCATGAGACAATCTTTGCTTCCTTTACCGGCTTATGAATTACGCACCGATTCCCTCGGATCGTCCAGGCCTATTCGCATGTATCACTTATTCTCTTGCGCCAAAATAACTCGCGCCTCATTATTCCCAAATCTAGGATAGTAATCAGATCTTACTTCTTTATCATAAAATACGCTTGACTATGGAACAGATTACCCTTAAAATTGTCAACTGAAACTCCCACTCCAGATTAAAAGCACTACTTTGCCGTTACCTTAGTGTCGAAAAAGCTATATCTCTGAGATACAATAGCCTTCACATCTCAACTGTTTTTGAAAATGTATCCGGCTATTGGATACGAAACATAGTATTGGTATTTATGATCGCAGCCGCTACTCAGGTCCCTACACAGCAGATACGTTGAGCGAGAATATTAGTGTCACTTGCAACCGGGCAGCAGCCCATCTCCGTGGTACATGCTGACCAGGCAGCAGTAATTACTTTCTCAAACAAAACCATATCAGTACACGGGTCGTGTTCCAAAGCTAAATCTGTGTAAAACGACATTTGGTGATGTATATGTATACGAGTTCTGTGACCCATTACCACTAAATATAATTTCCCTTTGCTACGGTATTCAATCATCTCATTTAGCCCAAACTCGTGCCACATGCTCATCAGAGAGCAGAGTTTACATTCTCGAGCAAACTCCGATCGAAACCCAAGCACAAAAACCTATTCCCTACCCGTGACACATACCAATATGGCAGATTTGTATAAATTTCATTTCGTCTCCTCCAATGTACGGTACACTTTGAGAGTATCAAGCCCGTGAAGTGGAACAGCCCACTCGGTGAATCCTTGTAATAAGTGATGCCTCTTATCAAACATTTCACCCTCCTCCTACTCGCAGAACTCGCAACGACCAATTATTACCTGTGTTATGAATGGCTCAATCTACCCTCATCTATAGTACACTTCCTCAGTTTAAGTACTCTAGATGTTGAATCGACAACCCATGGTGAATTTCTTCTCAGACTACAGCAACTAATTACTAACTTTAATTAGAATTTCAACCCCTAAGCAGAAGAACCTTCTTTTCCAACTGTGGCACATACTGATCTGGAAGTTGTGTTCACATATCATTATATATTGTCTGATATACTGTACGATTTGAGAGTCTCAAAGTTCGAGAATTGGAACGGACCCCATTCGGTGAATCCTTGTAACAAGTGATTTCATCTATCCGACACCGGACCTTTGTGGTGACCAACCAAATACTATTCGACATGTACCCTTCCTCCTGTGCATCTCATTGTTTTATCACACCAAGACCATTTTTCTGGTCAGCACGCGTTTGTTTTCACATTCCGCACAATTTCACACGCTTCGGTATCTCTCTCTTGCTATGCAGGTCGTAACAATACAGCCCGTCCTCCGTTTCGTAAATCGTCTCGTTCTGTTTTTGTTCGAACGTTTGTTTGCGACATATGCCTATTAGCTCGGGGTATCGGTAAGCCAGTGCCTACAAATTGGTAAGCCCTCTTTTTTATTTTTTTACGTTGGAAATATATATTTTTCGGAGGAAATTTAATTTCTCTATGTTACGTTCCTAGTAAGTTCTCCGAGAACAAATGTTTACGGATTCGCTCTCGTTCATATAATTTTAGATAATATTTATTTCTAGGTTGCGTTTTAACAATCATCTAAGATCCGCTTTTACCAGTTTCACATTCCAAACTTACTTTTATTGCGTAGGCGCGAGTCGGTTATTTTCACCATCGTTTCCACAATCTCATATATAATTGCAGTTAATCATGACTAGTCCCGAGCTTAAATATCCCGTCGACAGCGAAGCTCTCTGGGCCCAAATCGGGGTCCTCGAGTTCATGCGAGAAAACCCTTGGCGTTCCTCGCACTTCTGGAATCGCGATTCCACGAAGTCTGCATCACCGGACAACTATCATGATACCAAAAGCGTGCGCCACTTCCAGACGACTGCTTACCATCCGGTAGTCAACGGGATAGTCGAGCGTTTTGATCGACAACTGAAAAGTGCTTTGGGAGCACAGGTCAACCCACACTGGAAAAAGTTTTTACCTTTAGTCTTCTTAGCTTGCAGATCAGTCTTTAAAGGTGATCTGCAGTCCACACCAGCAGAGTTGACTTTCGGTCTTCCGGAAGAAATTGTGGCATGGACGCCACCCACTGACTTCAACTACGGTGGCTATGCAGTTCGTTTAGCATATCGTATGCGCCAGATGTATATTCAACCACCTCACCAGCAAACAACCCTAGCCCACCTCCTCCCTCGATTAGCCATAGGTTCGCAGGTTCTCCTCAGAGCAGAGGTTCGCGCACCACTGCAACTTCAATACAGCGGCCCACATAAGGTACTGCGACGCTTGGAGAAAGCCTACATAATAGAGCACAACAGTAAACGTGAAACCGTCAGTACTGACCGGCTCAAACCTGCTCACCGTCCGTTCTGTTAATCTCCCCCACCCGTCGCGCCACCCGCAACTNCGTCCCAACAAGTCCGCCTTCCTCCACCCCGGTAAACCTAGCGACACCCCTGGAGCAGGCAATTGATCCTAACTCATCCCATCGGATCACTAGTCGCGAAAGAGTCCTTAAGTTACCTGTACGTTTTAGATTGTAACACGTTTTTACACTTGGCAGCGTACAAACACATTTAGTCTGCAAGGAGATAATTTTTGTTTTGCCTGAGTATTCACATATGCATGCAAAAACCAAAACCAAAGAAAACAAAAATCTTTTTGTCATGGAATCTATTATTATTTTTTCCTACCATGGTTTAAGTTTTTTTCTCTATGCATGTATATACTCAAAAACCATGCCCTTTTTGTATTGTGTTTGGCTTTGCTTCACCGATCAGCTCCAACAAAGGCTTGGGTCTGACGGAGGCTTGCGGTCAACATCCTCAATGGACAATTTGGTGACGGCAATGGGTGTTGGGCGCGGCTGTATCCTTCGCTTTGACTTAATGCGTCCGCATTCCGGACCAGGTTGAGGAACGCGCCCCCTGCCTCAGGTGCAAGGTGTTTTAAGATTGGGTGACTAGCGTGTATTGAGTCCCACATCAAAGCAAACAACGCCTAAATAACCCAAATCACCCATTACTAATGGAAGCAAATGAAGCCGTTGAATATGTCCTCAAAGAAGTCAACTGTGTCACACTGAATAGTGAATACATATTCTTTATCAGATGCTTCAACTTTGTTCAGTCTCTTGGTCTCCGTTATTGGGCTTGTTTCACACTTTGCCTTTCCATTGGTTTGCCGATCGTCTCTCTTTATTTCACTTTTTGATCGCCGCACGTACAATCATCTCACCATTCATCCGGAATATTGAATTCTGTTTCGTTCTATTTCTACTGACGTGCTCTGTCAAGGCACAACACAATTCCCTCCACTTTCTTCAGTGACCTTGTCAGCTTTGCGATCAAGAAGATCCACACTGGACCAAAGGTCCATCACTCACCCTACTGAGCATTCGTTCTGTCATCAAAGAAGACCTGGGATGTACGGCGGCAGGTTTGGTTTACGGCACTACCCATCGTCTACCAAGTGATTTGCGTCAAACCTCACCATCAACCCCTATTTCTCCATCGACGTTTACCGAACGATTGCGAGACCATATGGTGTATACCAAACCAAGTCCAACACGCCAACACAAGTGCCTGATGATTTGCACAGATGTACCCACGTTTTCTTTCTTTGCGATGTTACATGTCAACTACCTCAAGCATCATGCAACGCATCAAACAGTGTAATTTCTCATTCGGATAAATATTTTGTTAAGGATCGCAAAGGAACGCATGACTCCGTAAGCATTATATCGTTTAAAACCCGTGTATCTCGATTCGTCATCGAATTTACCCATCACGCAATCTCTACATGTTGTTTGTTTACCAGTTATCCCCGATGCATCACCCACACTAAGTCACTCAACAGACACAACACACACTTCTTCAACTATCCCACCTTCTACACGCGCATTTACACCTCCAACCGTTACACGTAAAACGCGTCTTGGTAGAAAAGTCCACTTTGAGGCTCGTTTTATTTACCGATTCTATTTTACTCTTGGTTTTATCGAGTGTTCCGTTTGCACTTTCACTCTAGAAAGGGTGTACTGTTGTGTCTTACCTTTCTATCCACTTTTATATGGCATGATTGTACAGCTGGTTTTTATATACACAACAAGTCACAACACAATACAAATTCTGTTCATAACTATGCACGTAGGCTCCGAGTGTTGCTGAAACATTACGTGTACGTTATCAGTTATCGTCAAGCCGTCGGTTTACTGTCGCAGCCATCCATTTCAGCAATACTGCACACTATTAACCGATGCCGCACCTCTGAAGAATAAGACCAATCAACCAGCCGAACGATCCTTCTGTGAGTTTGTTTCATGTACCGTTCATTTCATTATTATTCGTATATGTAGCATCTTTTGCACTATATATTTGATGAGAGCGTTTTTCATTTATCTCTAGTTTCATATTTTTCTACGGTACCCGGGTTAGGCAGGAATTTAACTTTGTTTTTTGTTTAATGTACTTTTTAAACATGGAGCAATCAAAACTCGACGTAGAGGACCTTCCCATGTCTTCTCACATTAAATTGCCCGCATTTGTTATTAACAATCCACAGTTATGGTTCGCCCAAGCCAAAGCCCTTTTCCGTACACACCTCATCCGCTTCCAAACGATTATTTATTAATAATAATGTATATTTCACCCGTGAAGCATTCACAAGGCATGATCATATGTTCAAAATAATCATATGTACAACGACAGTACAGGTAAATAGATAAACTACTTGGGAGACGTACATAATGGAGATGGTAGGGGAGCAGAACGAAAACGCTGTGTAAACGGAACACAAAGCGGACGAGGTCACAAACGTTGGTGTGGAGGATGGAAGAATGTGCTGTATAAGCATATCAATCGAAATTGAAGAAACTGTTACCCCGTTATCGTGGGGAAACGGAGTGCGGCTCTAATGAGAGAAGATACGGAGAGACAAAATGTTGGACAATAGACGGGGAAAATGGAGTCACAAGGATTTGAATAAAAAGGAAGAAGTACAACGAGTTCATACGTTTGCCGGAATGCGGACGCATGCAGACAAAACCGTCGCAACAGCCATGCCCAGCATCCACTGCCAGGGCCAAAATTTTCCATTGTGGGTTTAGATCCCAAGACTTCGACGGGTCCAAGCCAACCGTATCTGGAACAAAAGAGTCATACTGAACAGTCTGGGATAATACCCAGCTGAGAAGGGATAAGGGGAGAGACGCATGTCACAAATCAATGGGCGAAGTGGAATAATAGGGATGGTATAAACCTGTATAGTAACTTGTACACTGATTGAGGTTCGGTTTAGAAGGTGGTCACAGCTACCTTGTTTGCACGTGCCACGAGGTTTAGTCAAATGATTCGAGCGAAAGCAAGGTGGACATAGTTCCGCTAATGAACAAGTGGTCGCAATACTTCTCAGAGTATGTACCAAGGTGGAATGTTTTCCACAGATACAGGTTTGAAGCTGAATCGGTGAACTGATAGACGTTTGGTTTATAAAGTGGTCACAGCTACCTGGTTTGCATAGTCACTTCCCTNTTGAATTTATCATCAGCATTCCCAAGAATGACCAATACAGTCATTTGGAGGAAGCTGTAATCACATTCACAGCTGTCGAATGAACGCCGATTGGATGAGTTGTTTGGGGACCTCGAATTCGGCGCCACCCCCCGCCAGCTTTGGTTGAAGCGTCTCCCTCCACGCATCCGGGAAGTTTTATCTGTCCTTTCCAACGGTTAGTTGGATGAAATGGCAATGGCCGCGGATAAAATGTTCAAAGCAAACCCAACTCCGCAACACAATACCGCTTACTCCGACCCAACGCCAACCGCTTACTGCTGTGATGATATCACTTCGCGAATAGGAAACCTTGAACTGCAGATGCAGCAATTGTTTCTTCATCTATCCCGCTCACGGTCATCCAGCCGAAACCGAAGTCGAAGTCGCTCGACCTCGTATACCCGCAGAAACCACCAACCAGCCAGCTCCAACCTTAACATTGCTGGTATCACCAACAGTTTGGCTCCAGAGCCAAGAAGTGCGCCCCAACCTGTTCATTCACCTCATAGAAAAACCCCAAAGACGGACAGTAATGACGGCGTCTATTTCTGGCATCCTCCAGACAGTCTATTATTCATTCAGAATAAAAGCACCAGTATCCGATTTTTGATCGATACCGGTGCCGAACTGAGCGTGATTCTTCAACCAACCACTGTCACCCTACTAGTAGCCAACTGTAGTCGCATTCACACCTACGGCCGTCACTCCATCACCGTCGATCTTGGTTTGAGAAGACAATTCGGTTGGATTTTCACGATTTCTCATGTCTACCCTGCCATCATTGGTGTTGATCTTTTGTCTGCTTTTGTTCTCTTTGTTGATATCAAGCAGCTTAAACTACTCGACATCTCAACTTCATTATCTGCCAGTGCTCGTGCAACGCGCATTCGATCCATAGGACTCCGTCTACTCGAACCCGAGTTATCTGTCTTCTCCAATATTCTTCAAAGATTTCCAGAATTGACACATCCCTCCTACGAACCTGCGAGTGTTACACACGAGGTGACCCACAGCATCATCACTAAAGGTCAACCCTTCACCGCCTGACCTCGCCGACTAACACCCAATAAATTGGCCATGGCTCGCGCAAAGTGCAACCNCACATGCTTCAGCTTGGTATCATTCGTCCATCAAACTCCCCTTGGTCTTCCCAACTTCAAATGGTACCCATGAAAACCTCTGGAGATTGGTGTCCTTGTGGTGGCTACAGAGCACTAAACAACTCCATCAAAGCCGGCAGATACCTTATTCCACACATACATGACTTTGCACTCACTCTCCTTTCCAAACAATTTTTTTTCCAAAATCGACNCATACTATCACATCCCAGTGGCTGAATCAGACATTCCCAAAACAACAGTCACAACCCCATTTGGTATGTTCGATTTTTTTCGAATACCTTATGGTTTACTTATACAAACTTTTCAACGTTTTATGGACCAAGTAACTCGAGGTCTTGACTTTGTTTTCGTTTGCCTGAATGACATTTTAATAGCTAGCACTTTCCGATGAAGCTAGTCAGGCTGACTGACCTGCAGTTTTCGACTTGGCTTCTGTGACCCGCTTTGTGGATAGCAAAAACTACAGCCCTATTCCAATCTGTTTGAATCACTCTATCTCGTAGGGAAGCGGTAAATGAAACGCGGACCAGGTCCTGGATAATGCAGCTCAATAGCCTTACCATTGCTTGGTGGATTCCTTCTGCCACTGATGCCTTTTTGAAGTTTATTGCTCCAAGGACCCTTACAACCTCTGTCCATGTGAGTTCTAGAGTATCCATCTGTGGCCCTTGATAGGTGGGCATCTCTACTTCTGCGAGGTTGT